TGACTAGACCAAGGAACTGATCGTGGACTTCAGGAAGACCAGGAAACACTTGACCCCTGTTTCAATCCAGGGGGTCAGTGTTGACATTGTGGAGGACTATAAATACCTTGGAGTACACATTGACAATAAACTGGACTGGGCTAAAAACACCACAGCACTTTACAGGAAGGGCCAGAGTCGTCTCTATTTTTTGAGGCGACTGAGGTCCTTCAACATCTGCCAGAAAATGCTCAGGATTTTCTATGAGTCTGTTGTGGCCAGTGCGATCCTCTATGCTGTTGCATGCTGGGGGAGCAGGCTGAGGGTCGCAGATGCCAACAGACTTAATAAACTAATCCGTAAGGCCAGTAATGTTGTGGGGATGGAGCTGGACTCCCTCAAGGTGGTGTCGGAGAGGCGGATGCTGTCCAAGATAAAGACAATGTTGGATAACACCTCCCACCCACTCCATGACATGCTGGTCAGTCACAGGAGCACGTTCAGTGAGAGACTGAGATTACCGAAAAGCACCACTGAACGACACAGGAAATCATTCCTGCCTGTGGTCATCTCCCTGTACAACGCGTCCACTTAACACACTGGTTACTGCTGCAACTACACGTTTCTTTTCCAGCTATTTATTTATGAGTGACTTATGTATATATATATATGTATATATTGTACTATTCTTAGTTAGCGTATTGTCTGTCTTGTCTTAATGTTGGTTTATGTTGGTTTATAATGGAGCACTGTAACAAAAAATAATTTCCCCCAGGGATCAATAAAGTATTCTGATTCTGATTGATTCTGATTCTGTTATGAAATATGAACATGTAATAATACAGTAATGGAAATACATTAATAATAAATGTTGTTTTAATAACAGGAGTGTTATGCAGTTTCTAATGTACTGAAGGGACACACTCTAACACGTATGTAATAAAAAACGGTTATTATATTCAGCGTGTACACATGAGCCCCAAAACAATCCCATTGTTCATTATTATGTAATGCTTTAATTCTCCTAGGGCCACAAAGTTATAAACCTGGATTGTTTCTTATATTACTTCAGTCCCAGTGTGTTTTACACCATCAGACACTACACTGCTATCTCTCCGCCTGAGTTAAAGTCTGCTTTAGCTCCTTGCTGATCCTACTGCTATTTCCAGCTTTGTGTAATCCTGCTGCAGCTCCTACATATAAGTACTTACACCAAGAGGATAAGAAGGCCCAGCTCACAGGTTAAAAAACACTGTACATCTCATGTGAGTGTAAGCCAATGATGGCTAGCAGCTCTTTACCTGTTTTCAGTTTTGGCTTTCTATATTGCCATATGAAGCAGCAGGTCATGACTACAGAGAGCAGAAAGAAGACAATCATGCCAAACATGGTCCATTTCACCTTCATCTTCTTTAATGGTTCTTACAGACAGCAGGCAAAGCCTATAAAAAAGTTGTACAAATGTTTTAGTGATTTTCTTTTTTATCAGATATTGAATCCAACATAAAACTCATAGCTCAAATGCATGCTAGTATGTTTCATGCCATTTGAAAATTTAGTCTCATGTCTTTTTTGTGTTGTCATATAAAAATGTCCCTGAACATGAGTTGCATTAGAAATTGATTAGCTTACCAATGAAGTGAAAAGACGCCTTCCTCAGAAGCCCCTCATTATCTCTATGATATTCTTCATCATCAGACTAGAAAAATCCACCAATTATTTTCCTTAAGGTACACAGAAGAAAAGTCAGCAAGGCCGCTTGATCCTCTGTTGCTCATGAGCAGTTACTGGCCATCTACTACATGCACTTAATCCTGACTGTTATCCCGAGCTCCAGTAAGAGAGTGGAATCTATTCCTACTTTACCATGACGTCATAATCTACAGGGCTACACCACTAAACGTAAGGAAGGCTGTGGAATCGAAACCTCTTGAACCCTCACCCTCTGAACACTTCCTGTTGATTCTGCAAGAGAGCTATTTTCAGCAGCAACAATTTGAGTAAATTAAGTAGTCAGAACAATGTTGAAGAATTTGTATCATTTTTGCATTTTAAATAAAACACAAATCAGTGACTACAGCAACAAATAATTCAAATGTGAACGAAATGAATCAGAATGGTGCCTCTCCAAGCCACTAGAAGGCGCTGTGGACTTTAAATAAATGCTATTTACAGACAGACATATGTCTTTAATAGATATATGGCTAGATAGGCAGGCCTAACCTGTGCAAAGTGGGAACACTGTGTAAAATGTAAATATACATAGAAGCTACACCTTTCCGAGATGCTCTTCTTTTACTGTTGTCAATGAATCTAATTTGTCCCTAAGATTCTCCAGCTGTTTCTTTTTAGTACCATGTACTTTTCCAGCCTTTTGTTTCTTCTGTCCAAACTTTCTTGAGAGGTGTTGCTGCCATCAAGTTCCAAAAAATGTTTGTATTCATTTTAAAGTTCATCATCGCACAGAGACAGCATCAGTGAACGCTAGAAATGATCCTTTTGTGACCTACAATGCAGACTTGATTTTATAATCTCTCCAACTTGTTCTGTGTCTGTCCTAAGGCCTCCTTCCTCCTTCCTTCTCACAAAGGAGGTGCACAGTCCCTTCAGTCATTCGAGATGCCTCGCCTTATCTTTAAGGGTATCCAATAAGCCACCCTTAAGATAAAACTGATATTTTCTGGTTGTAACTGGTAATAGTAGATCCAGAACCAGGCTAGGGGAGGGGTCACCATCTAGTAGATGGTGACCCCTCCCCTAGCCTGGTTCTGGATCAAGGGAGATCTTCCTTCCAGCCAGCACCCTGTACTTGCTTGCAGGGGATCTTGTGACTTTTGGAGTGTACCTTACAGTAAAAACACCTTGAAACAGCTGCTGTTGTGAATTGGCTTTTGGTAATTCAACTAAATTGAAATTAAATTGTTTGCAAATTATTCCACTCTGTTATTTCTTATTATTTGAAAGTCTTTCAGGAATGGGCTTCCTATAATGCCACCCTACCTCATGAGCCATAGAGGTTTTAGTTTTTGTCGCGTTGTTTTTAAAAATGATCCACCACTTTCTGCACTGCTCTGCTCTGCTCGCTGGGACCCCAACAGTGAGAGCAGCCAAAGAAAGGCACCAGCTTTACTGACCCATAAGTCAAGATAGATTATTTCTGATTGGCTCGCTGATGGTGTGTCTGACCTACAATCTGCTGCATTCCCATTGCTGTCTCCCTGGGCATAGGTTTCCATAGGAACAAGCCGTAGGCTCCTCTAATCTGTTGTTTTGCAGCTCTCACTCATCTGGAGGCAGGCTGGATTCCTTTTTGTCATGCCCATATTCTTCTGCTCTATTTCCTCACTGAGCTCTATCTCTTTTTCTCTCTTGCTTTACTGGCAGCGCTATCCCTTTCTCACTCTCTGTTTTTCCCTCTCCCTTAGTCTCTTTCATCCACTGCAGTCTTATCTTAGGGAATGTCTCAGACAGGTCGGCTGTGGAATCTCTATGGACATGATAGCAGTGCAGCTTGCAACAAAGGTATTATTGAGTTCTCAATGACAAAAGGACCAAATAAAACATGTCCTCATATCACAGGTTAGTTGTGTTTTTTACTTTAATTCGTTTTATTTATACTCATCCAGTCCAAATAACACATCTGAAATATATCACATGTAGGGTGAAAAGACTAAATTTTTAAACGTTATTTTCCAGTGCTATGTAGAAAGGCCAAAGTTTGCATCCATAACATTTAATGGATTTATAAATCTAATAAAGCATTAGCATCAAAAGCATTAACTCTCTCAGGCTCAAATTAAGTTTTTGTTGCTAATGCACAAAAGAATACCTGCAGTGGTACTTCCGAGTAAAAAAAACTCATAAAATATGTATGTGGGGTAATCAGGTTGTTAGCTTTTAACTGTTGCAAATCTGCAACGCCTGCCTTGAGAGGGTTAAAAAGTTGGCACAACAGCCTCTTGTCTTTGAATCCAATTCATTTCAGTTCAGGTTTTATATCACCAGTTCACATCACAGTTGTGAACTGGTGACAGTTATTTTAGGATGCAACAAGCTAACAATGACTTAACAGTCCTAGGAAGGAGGAACTCATTTTAACATTAAGAAACCTCCAGGTAGACACAGGCTCAGGGACAAACAGCCATCTTGGGGGTTAGGGCCAAGAAAGGAAAGAAAAGAAGGTTGAAGAGAAATGACAAACCGCAAACTAGAAAGAAAAAAACAGTACTGGAGTAGAGCTAGGTCTGACAACGACAATTAATAAGTGGGCCCACAACAATAACCTACAATAACATGATCGCCAATTTTATTTGCTGGTTAAAGTTGCTGTGAAATCATTTCTGAATAACATTCCTCAGTGTACAATTGTACAAAGACTGAGTTTCTCATCATCTCGGGATGAATAAAATATTATCAATCAATCAATCAATCTGCAATACACAATATCATTAAAAAAGAATTCTAAATATCTACAATGAAACAAGGCTGAAAATCAGATTGGATGCTATATTCATTTCCTCAGTTTAAAACTTTTTTGGTGTTCTGTAGTGAATAAAATATCAGATCTGCAAATTAGCGCAGGAGTGCAGTGTTGCTACTTTTTGGGATGGGGTTGGTAATTGCTACTATGCTAAAAACACTGGCTTCATTCCTTGAGTTATGTGTAGGTTAGTGTTAAGTGACGTAATAAAAAATTTGCTTAGGTACAAAGATTGTGCTGACACTGAATGGTAAAGAAAGGTCTTTCAAAGCGTCTTCACTGGCAAATATAACATCTAATAATTTAGGTTAAAAATTAAAACAGGCAAGTGTAATAATAAATTTGAGTAAAAGCACTTTCCTCCGACGGAAATGCATATTAATGCCTATTCATAATTAACCCTGGTGGCCTTGTTTTAAAAAAGAAACAAAAAACCCAAACCCTTGTGTCCAGTCAGGCGCAGCCGATGTTCTGTGTTTTTCCGCTGCTTTTCTGCCCCCTCTTTTTTGGTTTCGCCCAACCTGACCTGAACAGCAGCGCTTCAGCCTTTATCTTGGTGCCACTGATGATGATAAGGATGCTTCTCTCCATCTCTAAATGATTTCACAGGAAACCGACCACAGCTGTACGGCTGCGCGATGAATACACTGGCTTTTAACAGGCATAAGTCTGGAATATCTGTGATTATGGATATCTTGTACTTTCTATGGATGCTGCCGTCGGTGTGGGCTGTCGAAGGTAAGCTGGAATGCGACTCTTAACTGAATCTAAACGCTTGAACGGAGCCGAGCTGTGAGCGAAGGGACGACAAAGCGCCATCATTAATTTACCAAAAAGCCGACAATGCGTATTTTAACCTCATTTAAGGGAGCAGTCTAGAGGAAATCTCCGAGGTGTTGTTTGGATGGAGGTCTACAGCTTTCACTATACCGAGAAAGATTTAAGCTGCAAATATGTTGGTAGTCGAGACAGAATTTAATCAGCTTCTCTGGCCTTTATTCTTATCTGGCATCAAAGGCCATATACACAGTCTCATTTTCTCTATCCTTGTTGTTGTTATTATTACTGTTCTTATTATTTATCTTTAATTTAACTGACATTCCTTTTGCTGCAATCATTAAGTACAATATGTTTGGTCAGGCAAATACTTTCCAGTCCCACAACTTCAATTTCTTGTTTCCCTATTTGTAAGTACAGTAAGGATAAGAAATATTTTATTCATCTAAAGGTTGACAAGATCAATTACATAAATACCCAGTATTTCTCATCAAAATTTTATTTTAAAGAGGAAAAACAGTTAAAGTCAATGTAGGAGAGAAACCACTTTTATAAGAGAAAATAGTCTAGCCTGAGATAAGACAGGGTTGGCCTAGTCCACTGCAGGGGGACTTTATAAGTTTGCTCACTTGCCAATAAAATGAACAGTCTGTAATTGTTATGGTATTTTCATTTTCTTGCAGAGAGACAGAATATAAACTATACATTAAAAAAACCAAAAACGTATTTAGTCCCCTACAACTCAGCAAGAACTCATGCTCCCATGGGATTGACACTGTGCCCATGTGGCACCCAGATTACATTCAATTCAAATTTATTGAGGTAGTCCCAAACCACAGCAACAGTCGCATCAATATCAATATCGTATATTGTACGATAAAGACCCTACAATAATACAGAGAGAAAACCCAACAATTATAACTCCCTTTGAGCGACAGTGGGAAGGAAATCTCTGTGAAACACTGACAATAAAAGGACAGAGCACAAGTTGAAAAACTCAGTATGTCTCCAACTGCTGCACCTGTAAGAAAAAACACATACAGAAAACAAACAGCGCCTGAAAGGAAATAAAAGAAAAAAAAACATAGATGCACAAACAAACAATCTTGTTGTGTTCTGAATGTGTGTGTCTGTCAACAAATATACTTGGTAATGAGGGTGAGAAGCTGCATCCACACCTCCCAGAATACAGAGGCAGACAGAGACCCAGGTGACCAGGGTGCAGCCCCCATAGTACTGAAGACCCGAGGCCACACATCTCGATGACAACTGCGTGCACATCCCAGCAGGAGAAGAAGGGACAACCCACATGGGGCCCTCATGGCCAAAGAGCAAGGGAACCAGAAGCAATGGTGGGCAGACCACTCTGACAGAGGCTGGCCAACTCAGCATAAGCCGAGTTAGGTAGCCGAGAGCTGCCCAGCACCCAGCAAGTTTGCCAGTGAGTGTTTAAAGGATTCAATGAAGCCTTGAGAGAGTGTTGTGTTGTGATGAGATGAAACTGAATCGAGACATTATAAAGTCATATTTTGCTTGTTGATCAAATAACAGTAACACAGTAACGCGCAAATCCACTTATAACATCTGTGTAATGTGTTTTCTACATTTTTGGTTGATATTCTATCTCTCTCCATTAAAACCCCTGGAGGGTCTTGGGTCAATTTGTGGCTCTAGGTCCGATAGCGTATGCATTTTTCTAAGATCCTCCAGGGGTTAAAATTAAACTAGTATGAAAAAGTTAATTTCTTTGTAAGTGAGCAAACCTAAATAATACGGAAGGATTTAAATAATATAATAATTATAATTATTGTGATAATTTTATTCCCCACGCGAAGAACATCATGGGACTTCCAGCTGCCTGATCCTATAACACTATTACTAAGGAATCATCTGATCCAGCTCTAACTATGAGCTTTATCAAAAAGGATAACGCTAAGTGTAATATTAAAATTAGAGACAATGTCTAACTCTCAAACATAAACATTCAATATTTCAGTCAGGTTTTAAAGCATTTCACAGTACAAAGTGTATAAACTTTTTTGGGATAATGTCAGTGTTGGAGCTGCCATCGTCCTCATTCGGCACAGTTGGTTGAGCTTGTTAATGAAGTGTCTCATTCAGATGAGCGAAGATGGTGATGAGGTGTTTGGAAATGTTGTAAGTGGCTGAGTTTATACTGCTAACAATAGGTCTTCCAGGGACTCCTTCTTTGTGGCTCTTCAGAAGTTAATATGTGCAGGGTATAGGCTCCCCAAAGTAAAGTTAGTTTTTAGGGTGGTCAGTGGCTTTTTCCCTTTCGAGTGTTTGCAGATAGGCTTTCGTTAAGACTTTAAGTATTACTGTCACTGAGGACTGTGGCAATTTTGTTGTGATAACCAGCTGAGTTAAGAACAACAGTACACCTTCCCTTGTCAGCTGCTAGTAGGTTGATGCTGTGGTTTTCACTCAGGATGTGAACACCTTACCTGAATGTTGAGGTTGGATGGAGGAACTTTTGCACTGGGCAGGGCAGGTTGCTCCGCTTTAGGTTGTGTTAGTTTAGTAACCCTTGAGATGCTCCACCTTTTGTTATTAAAACTGAAGAAGCCTATTGAATGAAAGGGCTAAAGAAATCCAGTCCCCTTCTTTTTTTCAAGCTCTTAAGACTACCATGGCCAGGATGACTGGGAACAGGCACAGACAATACAAAATACAAAACAAAACACAAAGAGCAGCTACCTAAACTTTACTTATTCGGTGTCTTGCTAACAGTGTCACATTCTGTACAACCCTGAATACTGGATACTTTCTTTGAAAATGAAAGCAAAAAAATGAAAAATGTTTGACCCCCTGGCATAACGCAAAAACACGTACCTTAAAGCAGATAACAGGTAGGGCTGCCACAAACGATTATTTTGATAGTCGACTAGTCACCGATTATTTTTGCGATTAGTCGACTAATCAGATCATCATCCATTGGACGTAAAACGTACAGCTTATTGCACCAGCAGCATCTGCTCTTATATAACTATCATTAGCTTACAGCTTTAAGTGTTTATGGTATGTGCTAACTAAAAATAAAGACAAGATGATAGTTTATTAAATTTTAATGAAATTTGCAGATTCTTTCGGTGAAGTTTAATAAACTCCTTGCTATCTAAAATATAACGGGACACCGGAGTATATTCTCGAGCATCTCACACTTCTGATAATCAGTTGTTTATTCAGCTGTGTAAAAACTATAACTTTAATCTCAGCCAAACCGATTTACTCAGGAACAAATAAAATATTAAAAAAGCCAAACAATAACATTTTGAAGTTATCTAAGTGACTTATATATATTTAACCTGAGTAGTCGACTAATCGTGGCAGCCCTAATAACAGGAGTGGAGAGGAAATGGCCTTGCACTTCTTTAGAAGATCTTCATTTGGTCTGAAAAAATAGTCTGTGACTCTTAAAAAAAGCCATCCGTAAAACTAGGACATCTTGCTATTTGTCACTGCTCAAGGATAACACAGATTGCTTTTCACCTCAGCAGCCAATCTGACAAAGAGTTGGAGCTCTGTTGAGCCAAGTATTCCTTTAATCTTAACTATGTCTGTGTAGGTACTCTGCAATCCAGGTCATGGTATTCTTGGGAGATTGAAGTCAGGTCAAGATGAGAAACTCACTGTAATGACAAGCATTCATGAAAAAGATTCTCCGGTTTGTTGGTGTTAAGAAATTAGTTTGTATGTGATGACTTACATAGGAGGTTATATAATTTTTGGGGTTTTCTCTGTTTCCACGGTATTATTGTTGGGCCTTGTGGTAGAATTAAGGCACGATGGGACCACAGATCCATGTTTTGAGCCATCTTTATTTAACATTTGCATCACACCACCACAACCCCACACCAACCCCTGAGTCCCGTGTTTTAACACGGCGGGCGTGATTGCGGATGCCGTGCAGGTGCGTCCGCACGGCACCGCAGACCACCTTGAGGTCTGGAGTTTGACACCCCTGCTCTATGACTTCATCAGTCTCTCACATTGTCGAGGAACTTTAGCCTATTCTTCATTATGTTGCTTTAGTTCATGCCTGCTTTACAGTTCGTATGCACGAATATGTGTGTAAAAAACACTGACAGATGTTTCACATGCAAATCAGTGATTTGTCAATATTTTTCATAGGGATCTGTGGATTTATCTAAATATCCATAGTATCAATAATTCTGGCAGCAGTATCGGATCCATAATAGAATCAGTGCTTTAGTTTGTCTTCTCTTAAGGTAAGTGTGTTGTTCCACTCATCAATATAGCAGACATGTCTGTGCAAACACCCCTTTTCTCATAAAGGCACACTTTGCTCAGCTCCCTACTTTCCTGTGTGTAGTTGTCCTGCTGTCATGTGACTCGTTGGCAATGAGTGAGTACACAGGTACTTCACAGGTGTGTACTAATTTTCACACCTGAATTTGTTACTAATTTACAAACAAACTCAGGGTTCTGTTGCCAGCAAAACAAACATTCAGCAAATTAAAGCAAATATTTAGTTACATGTTGCTTTATATTTTGTTATGTTGCAGATTAAGTCATTTGTGCATACTTACTTGGTTCTTTGTTTTCAATTTTCATGTAGGTCAGGTGTGGGGAAAGGCCTGCCTGACATTTCCTGATTTTAAAGTACTGATAATGTCAGATGTGACATCAGCAGGGTAACCAAGATGAGGGGTTTCTTCTACTATAGGAATGCTTCCTTTTGTATGTTTCAAGATATAAAGGGATTTGTTGAATCTTTTTTTTTTTCGTATATAGAGCCGTTTAGTTGTTACATGTGCTAATCAGAAGTGTGAGGAGCTTTTTGTAATTTTCAGTCATCTATGTAGAGTTTTAGATTCCTCAGCGCAAGTTAGTGGTACTGGCTGGACTCATTCAAGGGAAATTTATAGCCCTATATATAGTCAGTCTCTGCTTGATTAAGATGAGGGTGAGCTTTGTTA